ACTACTTGCTCTGAAGCACTCAGTAGGGCACTTTGCATGTCTTCATGCATTACCTACAGAGTACATTTCCTAAGCAAGTCATGGCTTTTATCCTGAGTCCATCAGTTATTTAATGCTAGACTGTACAAATACACATTCCAATTTTCCTGAAGCTGAAAACACTAGTCTATAGACTAATATTACATTTATGAGTACACAGATAATATTCAAAATGAACAAGAAACTCCAGAAAAAGAATAAAATAGTGGTTTTCCACCAAAGCATGCAAAGCATTTTGAGGGATTTACTAAACACTACTGCTGAATATAATCTTCTGTGGCTTACAATGTGGAGTAAAGATTAAGTAAATCACTGTCTTGCCTGACAAGGAAAACATCTATTTTAGAACGATTCAACAATTTGGTTGGTGTGTCATTCTGATGACATATTCATTTTCCCTTAAGCCTTCATACTAAAAAGCAGTTTTATGGATGGTGCCATAAATTTTAAGGACTGTGTATGACAGTGACATTTGCACGCATGTTTTTAATACAGCAATACCAAAGCAATTCACGTAGCAAAAAGGGGAAAAAAAATTGCAAGCAGAACTGAGAGGTTTAAAATAGATACAATTCTGTTGTGCTGTTGTAACAATAGATGAGTTAACTATTTGTGAGACATTTACAATACCTGCCACTCCTAGAAATAAAAGTAGTTCAAGCTAGTTTTAATTAAATTAATGGGAGTCACTTCTTCAAAACATGTGCTGGATCTTGCTCAAAGAGAGATGTGCATACGAACTTCATTCTAATTCATGGAAAAAAATAATAAAAATCCTAAATAGAATATCAAAGTAGCATTTATACAATTGCTAACACACACACCAGAAAGAGGATGAAGATCGTAAGTTTTGTCATGTAAAGGCAGCTAGTCTCCCATACAATACTCACATTTTCCTCCATAAAAATATAAAAAGATCTTGCTTGCTTAGAGCCTACATAACTAAGTCTCAGTTACTAGAAAACTGGTATGCTTCCTGATACTCCTTTCAAACTGCTGTACTGCAGAAGCTGATTCAAACAGAAAGATGAAAAAAACCTGAAGTGTGACCAGCCTAAAACAGACATACTTGTATTTTAAGAGTAATGTGAGAGTTTAGGTCATTCTTTTTTTTTTTTTCCTCAAGGCACGGATTGAAATAGCTTAAACAGCAGGATTTTCAGGGTCACTTTACTGTGGCATTCAAAATCACATGTCATTTTTAACAAATTAGTGCTGAAAGAAAGTATGATAAAAATTTCACTTATTTTATGGATGGGGAAACAAAAAGGAGGACCTAAATTTTCAAATCGTATCATTCAAAATATCTGAAGAATTTTATCGTCTCGTTTGGGAATATTAAACACAGAATAAAATAATTTCCTGTTTGGAGACAAAAACTTTGGGCTCTAGAAAGAATCCAATCTGAATAGTTAAATACTGGAAAGCAAAATGAGCCTAGTTTTACCTTGGCCAATCTATTTACTGGTGTAAAACGTAATATTTTATGTTTGCATAGTAAGGATTTTTGGTAAAATTATTTAAAAATCTGTATTTAAATATAAAAAATGCTATATTTAAATATGAGTATTTAAAAAACTGATGATCCTGATACTGATGATGACAGAGTGAGTATCCACAGAGGAGAAGACCTCCTCCTAATTACAAAGTACTGCTTAAGATATATTTTTACAAACATAATCTGATGTAATTTTAAATGTAAGTGATATATAAACATTAAGTAACAGGTATGATCTGCTTTTTAAGCAGAAATCAGCAGCACAATTTTAAAAGCTATTCCTTCCATTCATGTAAGCTGAATCAAATTTCTTCCTAATAAATGTTTTCTGTGATGAATTATTTCTATTGGTCTCACAGCATCACTTTGTGGCAGAAAAGAAGAGAGTAGTCTGTTGGCTACTTTTGCATCATGTACCATGGAACTGAATGCACCTGAGATATATTTGAAGGACAGCTTCACCAGAACTTTATATGTCTCATACCTAAAGATAGACAAGACTTTAAGTAAAAATACGAATTGTCATTGTTAAAAAGTAACTCCTATTTTCTTCTTATCTTTTAAGTGCTTCCCATCAGAAAATAACGGCCATGAGAAATAAATAAATAAATAAATAAATAAATAAAATGGGCTGTTTTTAATCATCCTGAAAAAAAACAGTAAGTATATTCTCTTGAAAGGACTACACGTAAAGCACAACTACTGTTCAAGATTGTTAACGATTGGCAGAATCATTAGAATAGATTTTCAGTCAATGAGACACTGACAGTGGCTGAACTTTGGGTCATCTGTGCAACGGATTCATGTATATAACCAGTCTATATCTTTAGGAATTGATTTTAAACAAAATTATGATGATGAAACCATCACTTTTCTTGGTTCAAAAAGCAACTAAAAGTAAACATGTACAGATTGTACAAGTTCTATGTTGCATTCACATAGGTGCCCTCACAGTCATTTGGAAGTAGATGCTCACATCAAGAATGTGAACTAAGTTTGGTCGTCATGCAATATCAAAGAATACAAAACCCTTGTGCTGAATGCTATCAACATTTCACATAGACATACTACTTTTCAAACGAACATTGGAAGATTTAATTCAGTCAATTTTCTCCATTTATAATAACTAGATTGAGAAATCCCATATAGACTGCTGCCACCTTGGCCACTAAGAGCAACATTGCCTTTATATAGCTTCTAATATTACATTCCAACACTGGAGACTTTTAAGGTTCAGCTAGAGAAGATTTATCAAAACCTTGTCTAGACCCCGCTTTAGACATGAAAGGTTGGACCAGGTGATCTCTGAGGTCCATTCCAGCCTGGTCTTCTCTAGGGTAATTCTACAACTTTTGGATCTTGGAAGAACAAAACAAAATTTTACCATCTGTTGTTCTCCTTAGCTTTGTAATGTGGGCAGTATGAGGAAACTGATCATTATAATGTAAATTAAATACAGGAAGCATGATAATGGAGAATACTAAGACAAAAAAATTTGAGCATAAACATGGTTTAAATGCAAAAAAACCCGCTTTCCTTGTCTCTCCTGCAAGTAAATTGGACTCTGTGTGAAGAGTAATAAGCATGCAGTTACCTCAAATACATTAAAGACTTATCTCCTTTCACACTTGCCATAGAAACTTGCACTCGGGAAAAAAAAAAAAAAAAAGGTCAGCTGAAAGAGACAGGAGGGATTTTAGAAAACAAATCACTTCAAGTTTCCTGTAGTAAGTCTGGAGACTCACTAACACTAGGAATTAGTGCCTACATTACAGGATTGAGTCGTCCTACTTCCAATGAGCCTTATCTAAATTTGCATATTGAGCAACTGCTCATTACCTACAAGTATAGAATCAAACAAAAACGATTAAGAAAACATGGTTGCAGAATGTGCAGAAAGGGCTAGTTTTCTTCTTTTTTCCTCCATTCTTGGGGCAGTTCTAACTCACATTTCCATTTTATAGAAACGCTCTAGATTCTCTTTGCCTGTCTTAAACTCTTGTAGTTATCTGCAATAAACAATATTCTAGCACAGCTTTACTTTCAGTCAAATCCCTCTTGGGAACACAGTGATTTTATATGAAATGTGCATATCAGGCTTCTGCTTTCTGTAATCCACTTAGACCAAATGGGAATGAGAAATACTTAGTTCACACAAATTAAAATGAGATATTTTAGCCAAATCTGAACCTGAATGTAAGCATTTGAAAATATATCCTACTTCAGTCTCTCAAGTCTGGCAAACAAAACCTTCAAACTTAGACTGTTTACCTCTGCTACAGCTTCTGTCCTAGACACATTTGCTTAAAAGGACCAATGTCGACCCTATAATCAAATCTAAAATTTGAGCCAGACACTGGGTACTTTGTTGAGAGTTGGTGGTGGAAAAAAAATACAAATGTCAAAGTACACTTATGATCTTCATCCGAAAGAGGACAAAAATACTGCATGTACTTATTTGTCTCGTACTGACTGTGGCTGACTGATACTTTCATGCAAAATGGTTTATATAGATCTTAAAAGGACCTTCACTCCTAATGAAAAACATATAAGGGAGAAGTAAAAAAATATCTATATGAGAAGAATAGGATCTTGTTTCATGTGGTAGCTACCTAATTTTCTCTAAAATGGCTTGATTTCTGGAAAAAGTTATGAAGTTTCTTTAATTTAATTCCCACTTCAGGTTCAGTAACAGTAGATATGTTGAGAAAACTGAGCAGTAAAAGCATCTGAAAATAAGTGAGCAATGTCCAACAATTAAAAATCAATACATTTTTCAATTTGTATGTTTTATGTCTAATCTACAGTTGCCAAACTTCACTTTTTAGTCTTTAGGATTATAATTTTAGCATTATATTCTAATAGGCTATTATATATAATTTATCTATCTAATATAATGCTTATGATTATAACTTAATAGATTATAATCTTGGCTGACAAATGGTAGAGTTTTGTTTTCCAGTTAATATTTTATGGTCTAATCACAACTTGCATAATCTAAGCAAACTGATTACTTCACAGTATTTATTACAGAACAGGATTTTCAAACCTGAGGATTCTGTGGAATCCTTACACAACAGTCATTACTTACATCTCCTTTTGCTTAATCTAAGATAGTCTGTTTTATGATGTAGTAGAATACAAGAATCTATGATTCTGTTTTAGGATTATGTGGAATTGCATCCACAAAAAAATGCTTATTGTTATTTCTATTAAACTCCATTGCTCATGGAGACCTTGGATAGTCAATTAATAAAAGACCAGGTTTTTAGGCAGAGGAATCATTAAGTGTTCTCTACATTAAGGGATTCAATTATTTGTCATACAACTGCAGCTTTTCCTCCTCTCTTCTCAAAACATTGTATTCCTACATAATATAATTGCCAAACTAAAATAAAAAAGTGAGGAACTCATATACTGCTTTAAAAAAATGAACAAAACAAATAAACTATAAGAATTTTACCTGCAACGACTGGAGATTTTCTGTCATCCAAAAGCTGAATGGCAGTACTGGCTGTCACTACATTGCTTTTGTTTGCAGTTTCTACAAGGTATAATAAGAAAACAAACAAACAAACAAACATATTTCAGAATAAGGAAATTCACCTTTTTTTCTTTTTTTTTTTTTTTCTGTAGTTCAAAAAATTTAGTGAATGCAGTGCTCAGGAAATATGCTAAAAGACAGCAAATATGGTATATGTATGAACAGAACATACAAGCACTGATGTTGCAAAATTCCTAAGCAGCCCAACAAGGTTAAATCACAGACATTAGCGAGACAATCTCGCCTTTTCTGATAAGAATTGCAACAAAGATGACAACTGATTGGGCTTCTCAGAGATGCGGGTAGTTGTAATTTTGGATTTGCTTAAAATACAAAGCTGCAAATTCAATTTAGGCAAATATTCAACAACAGTTACATAATATCTTGGGTTTTCACTTGGAGCCCTGTAAAAGATGTATCAGGTCAAAGGACCAGTAAACTACCTGCAGATTTCAATGCATATTTTAGTATTTTAATATTACCATTTCAGCTTAAGTACACAGCTTTGTGCTCTGAAAAACTTGCTTTCCTTTTGGTAACATAAATGGTTCAGAACATAGATAAAGACAAAATTATAGACCTGTACTAAATGGGATTGAATAGACAAAGCTCCCGGGTATTTGCTCAGCAGCTCTTCTGTACCAGAGTGGAAAATGATCAGCATTAAAAATGTTTTCCTTGTCTTCAGCTGTCAGGAAATCTCTTGAGAAAGAAGAGAGAAAGAAAATACTTATTTGTTGTATGTCACACAGTAATGTCTAGATTTGAAAGACAAGAGAAAAAAAAGACAAAGCTCAATGTTTTAGGAAATAAAATGACTTTGGACAGTTAATCTAATATCATTTGTACAAGAGAGGGTTAACTTAAGCCCCTACTACTCATTCGTAACAGATTTGCAATTGGAAAACCTCACAAACTAAGTACTAAATACACCTTTATTGATATAAAATAAAATTGCTCATTTGGTATCATTTAACAGCAGAACACAAGAATTGTACAATGAAAAAGTCACTGAAGGTTTGATAGCTTGCTGCCATTGGTATCTATTTCTAAACAAACAAACAAACAAACAAACAAAAAAACAAACCAAAAAACAACCCTAACAAAGTAATTAACAGCCTACTTTCCAATTTATAGGTAAGGAGAGGTAGTGGAAAACTGCATACTTAATTTGTCAACTATTTCATGGAATGTTGACAGAGGAAAATTTCTCTGAGAATAAATACCAAGTATGGTCTCCAAGCTATTGTTCTGGTTTGTTGTCTGACAGTAAGAAACTGCAGTGCTACTGATCTCATCTCTTGGACTACTTACACTACAATAGTTTGTGTTCAGATAGGCATCATACAATTTTATATTCAATAAACTTAATTTATCATAAAGCGCATGTTTTTTTTCACATGTATAATGCCTATATTTGCCTGACATTACTAAAGTGCTGACTAAAAAAGTCATTAATTATCAGACCTTATTTTATGGCTCTCCATCTTAAGAAAGCTGTACCTGCATTACATCACATCTTAAAAAATGAAAAAAAAAAAAAAAAAAAAAAGGAATCTTTTGAATGATGAGATCTCCTGATGATCCTTTCACCTAGTCCACTTCTGTTAGCTTTGTTTCAATTTTAAAAAAGAATCCACAGCAATAAGTTACAAACTCTAAAAAGTATATAATATTTTTTCAGAGGAGATATTAAATATAAATATATATATTTCCTACAGATGTAGCATATTCTGAACTCCCTTTCGAATAGAAAAGGTATAAAGCTAACTTGAAAAATGAGGGAAAATGAAATCTATGGCTGTAAATATACAAGAATTCTATTCAATCTTTCTAATTTGTCCCATGTATTTTAGTGCACAAATGCAAAAGCCTGGAAGCAACAGTAGGCATGCTTTCTAAAAATGAACAATTTTTCTCGTTTTCACACATAGTTGCCAAGCATAGGTTTGTTACTTACTGATTAGTAAGCTGTTCTGGACCCACAAACAGGTTGATACGAGATAGTCCAGTCCGTGTTCCAAGGAAGGCAACTTCTACTCCCTTGTCAGAATTTCTGAAATAGAGCAGAACACAAACAAAAGACAATGTTTCCAGACAGTAAGCAGATGAAGCTATATTATTGGTCACTGAAAATACAAACGCACACATTTTTGAATAAGATAAAAAATAAAAAAGCAACTGTACTTAATATTATTTTTTAGATGTGGCAAATACACAGTGTAGAAATGTTATTTAGATGGTACACCTACACTTCAAGCCATAGCTGTCACTGCTGTTCCAGCATCAAAAACTTAGCTAGATTTAAACAGCTAGCTCAGAATCAAATGTAGCTCCCATTAGGACTGCTATCTCCCGCTGGACCTTAGGAAAAAATGTGTCAGGTAGTTCAGGCCAAATGCTCTTTCTGCACTGCTATCAGGACCAAAGTAGCTGTTCTAAAAACTAGCTCTTGTATGACTAGAAGAGCCTCACATGCTTTGTTCCAAAATGTCCTATCTTGTTAGTGTAAATGAGAATATGAAAGGGGATCAAGTCTCTGACTAGTATGTCTCTGATGTTGTCGTCCTTGTTTTTACTGGACCTGTTGTTAATTCATTGTGTAGGAGGATTCCTAAAAGCCTAAAACTTCTTATATACATTAACTGATGCCTACAGCATACTAGCATGCAATATTTTCCTATCTTTATCTTCAAAGAGGACACTGGGGAATCAGCCTGCTGAATTAGGTCTCATTGAATTCGATTTTACTTATTCAGTATGTATTTCCAACAATATCTTTTTCTTGCAGATTTTAAATATGATGCAAATTTAACAAAAGCTAATCAGGATAACTCTCAGAATTGCCTTTTATCAGTAGCATCTCATGCAAACTGCTAATCTTAACATCTGCTTTCCCTAACATATATATCTTGTTGCTTAACACTTGGCTCTGCAAATAAATAAAATAAAATAAAATAAAATAAAATAAAATAAAATAAAATAAATTCTGCATATAATTGTATATAATTTGTTCTAAGACAAATTACCAGTTCAATAAACAGTTTTGGTAAATTATGCATTAAATTCCTCAATTACTCTAAACAGTTGTTAGAAATAGTCTCAATTGTATGCTGTGCTTCATATACGATCTCATTAGATATATTGTAAAATTTGAGTAACCTTATGCTACTAATCATCATGATGTACAGTGCAACATAAACAATACTGAATTCAAAATTGGTGGTACTTAAGATACATTGGTTAATATGCTCTTTTAATTCTCTTTAATGCATTTGAAAAATTAAAATTCCTGAGTAAATAAACTAAAAGGAATGAAAAATCTGATTCAAATAAATCTCGGTAATCTGACAAAACATCAGGATTTGCAAAGCATTTTACCGGTTTTTACACATTACTATTACATGTCAATCACGATCATAATGACTGATTCAAAGTTTACTTACTCTGATTTATTTAGTGCTAAACTGGTCCAATAAGCTTCAATTGGTGCACTCACCACTGCATCAAACAGAACTTCCTGGATCAATTCTTTATCACCTATAATGTTATATTAAAATCAGTAAACACGCATGCAGATAATTTCCGTTGCAGTTAGATGACTAAACAATGGTTTTTTTAGACTCTACTGTATTTTTTTCAAGCCTTTTGCAATATAAAGCATTTACTATGTAATACTATATGATATGTAACTGCACTGTAGTTTTTCTTATGTTATTTCAATGCACAAACAATTACTAATAACTATAAAGGAAACAAAAAATGCATTTTCCGCTCCATGTAACACATTCCTGTACATATCTCATGCTTGCATTTTCATATAAAATGAGGCTAAAACCATTCTGTCCACTAGGTCACAAAAGCTTTAAGTTCATGAAAAGATCTCAGAGAAAATATGCACTAATCTATGTGACTTCTTAATTCTGTTTTGCAGTCCAGAAATGCTAACTTCATACATATTGTCCCTAAGGCACTCTGGAAATATCTGGTACATTTTTTAGAGGAGTGATCCAAGGATTGATTCAGACTAACTCTTTTTAACTTACGAAACCAAATGATAATATTGCATGGTATAGCAATACCATCTGAACAGAAATTTGAATATTTGGCTTAGGCACATTGTTTACCATAAAACCCAGAATTCTGTATCATCTGTATTTTTACAGATCCTCTGGAAAAAGCTCAAAAGCAAATGAAATTTGAAAGTGATATCAGCCATGCAATCCAATCTCAAGTTATCAAACTACGTAGCTTTGCGTTTTGTATGGAAAGTACAGTGTAACAGTTTTTAGCTGGGATAAAGTCTACTACATGTATACTTAACAAAATACTTGCATTGGAGCAATGGCTCTTTTCCTGTGAGGTAGCGTTTAATTGCTTCTAACTGAGTCATTTGGCGGTGTTCAGGATGCAAGTCTGTGTTGCAATAGGACCTGAGAACATATTGTCGAAACATTAAAACGTTATTATGCATAAGCATGATCTCTCTTTGAACATAAAGAATTGATTTCAGAAAGCACAAACAATACGAAGCCAAGAAGGGTAACAGACACCAATTTCATGCTTTGTTTAAGGCTTACCATTCATCTGCTAAAGATACATCAGGGTGTTCTAAATCATGTAAACCTGTAACAGGAATAATAATGGTTTATTTAGGGAGCAGTCTGGGTAACAGATGGTTATTAACATACACTCCATAACATAAACCCTTCCTTCTTGGAAAGTGCATTATTACCACAATATAATAAATCACAGTAAACTATTCAAATACATTGTAGAGCCTAACAGACTGGCAAAACCCAACTAAATCAGATCTAAAAATGAAAAGGAATGAAAAAATGTTTTTGCGTTGACATGTTTAACTCATACAAACTGTTCATGCGATGCACTTGAAGTTGAGAAGAAAACCTGAACAGAGCAATGCACAATGCTAAAAAAGCAAAAAAAAAAAACCAAACCAACCAACCAAACAAACAAACAAAAAAGAAAAAAACAAAACAAAACCACTTATTCATATTCTCTTGTTCTTTGTGGCTAGTGAAGTTCTTTATGCTAAAATGTATACTTCTCATTTTATGGGAGTTTTTCTCTTTCTCTTTTAAATAATATTTCTTTAAAAGGAACAAATCCCAAAACCTAAGCATACTCTCTATTAGCACAAATAGCAGTTTACAAGATTGTTCAGAAAAGGTTTATTGTTCTAACTGGCCACGCAAATGCTTGTAAATAAGAACTATATCATTAGCTATATAGCACAATAAAAATGTACTTTGGCAATTTTCAAAACTCTTAAAGCATGTATCAATAGACAATAAGCAAACATGGTTCAGAAGGCAGTCTCTGGGTTTAACCCCCAGAGCCCATACTACATAAAGACAGAGCCATGGTGAATAAGGGCAAAGAGGGAATTCAAAACAAGAATACCAGTAGTATTACTTGGAGAGGACAGAGATGCACCAGTGACAGAGAAACTGTCAGAAAGACAAGAAAGAATGAGAGAAAAGAAATGGTTGGTTATGGCTTTGTTAGCGGGTGATGATCTGAAAGAAGTATCAGAATGGCTGGCTGAGATGGGTAATTGTGAAAGGTAGGTTGGGAGCAGTTTGGAGAGTAAGCTCCAAGTTTCCTGCTGTGCTCTCTTCATATCCAGATTATTTTTTTTTAATTTACATATTTTTTTTCTGATTCATAAACTTTCAAACATTTCTTTTTATATATCTTCTAGAAACATGAACTTTTTTTTAGCCAAACAAAGCTGAGGAACAAAGATCTGAAAAACTATGTTAAAATCACCATTGAACAAAGATTTTGGAATAAAATCAGATAAATTTCCCCTCCTGTAAGACTCATTTTGTCAGGAACTGCCAGAACCTCACCACCTAACAGTATAAAGCTCCTCTACTGGATAGGTACACCATGTACAGAATGGTCAAGGAAAACTTATTGCTTTCTGCATTCCATGAAAGAAGGTTGTAATGAGGTGGGGGTCAATCTCTTCTCTGTACCAATGATAGGAGGAGAGGTGATGGCCTCAAGTTCCACGTCAAGGGAAGTTCGGGTTGGATGTTAGGAATAATTTCTTCTCTGAAAAAGAATGGTGAGGTATTGGAACACGCTGTCCAGGGAGGTGATGGAGTCATCATCCCTGGAGGTGTTCAACAAGTTTGTGAAACACTGAGAGAGGAGGAGCGGAAATGATGCCCATCTAAAGAAAATTCAAGGCCTCACTATGCGTAATGTAAACGAGGAAAAAAATCCCATGAAGTAGAAGGTCTTAAAAACTAAAATCTAATTCCCTCACAGAATCTGCAGAGAAACATACAAGCTTTAGGTCTACTAGGTCAACAGTTCAACTACTGTGTAAGGAACACAAGAAGTAGAGTATCTTACCTTCTTCCACAGTTACATTCCCTCTGAAGAAATATTTTCCATGTCCTCTAGAGAGAGCCACACCTAAACTGTGCAGAGAAATAGAGCAGACCTTGAAATCTGTGACACAAAAACAGACATTCAGAGATATTTTCAATTCTAACATTTCTAGCTAACTTAAAAAAACAGTTTCCAAAGCCTCACTGATCACATTGTTCAATTAGCTGCTTCTGTAGGATCTGATGGATCTGTTCTGATGAGCCTACAACAACTGCCTTTATTAAGTGTGTTTAGAAGTGCAGTACATCAGTATTATCTTGCAAACTAATAAACATGCCCCTCTAAGCTTACCCAGCATGACACATCTTCAGCTGAGCCTTGAACATACCTATGGCCTTACATTGAAGGAAACAAGACTAAGATGTTTAGAAACTCATAAGCGTTGGAATCAGTGGAGCTACTGAGAAGAAAATAATTTCATATGTAGCAACAGCAGCACGATTCTTCTTGGATTCTTCTGCTATTCATATTTTTTTCCTAGTTTAATATTTTTGCAATAACTTTAGCCTCATAAACTTTTATAGTTAAGTGCTTTGTTTTGTGTTGCTTTTCATCTACCATTAACAGAACTCAAATGTAATGAACCAGATGGAGGATACATGGCTCTTCATATGGAATACATACACAGGATAACTGCCTTAAATAAATGAATGCCAGAGAGTATCTCAGGTTAGGATCCTGTCTGTAATCATTACAACTGAAAAGCATGGGTTCATCCTTTAAGGACATGTAGAGGCACCAAATCCAAGAGCACACATGATGCAATCAAAAGCTCAATCTGGAAATAGGCAGAAAGTAAACATCTTTGACATTTCAGTATATATTTTAATAAATGTTGCCCCTGCTGTCTTCCTGAAGCTATGTTCTCATCCCATCATAACTACATACAGATCATTTTGAAAAAGGAGAGTTTTACTACTATTATTTCTGTCCTAAGGATTAGAAGCCATACTGCACGCATATATGTAGTCACACATCTGTTTACTAAATAGAGTAAAAATGACATTCCACAAAAATTACACTGAGTTTAACAACACATGTGTGGATTTTAAGAAGAATAAACACATGCATCAGAGATGAGAAATGTGCCTGTATTTTCTCTATGTAAAAACGTAGCTTGAGTTCTGTGATGAGGTTCCATTGAAGAAAATTTCAGTTGAGTACTTCAATTCTCAGACTCCTTCTTTAAGCATAAGGTTCAGTCAACATTATTTTGTTAATGGATTAGTTCTAACTCAAATATGAGCATTTATAAAGTGACTTCTTGCCTTTTTTTATTTTTGCTAAGAAGCGTGGCAAAATAACATTGCTGCCTCGCTCAGTTTTATTTACACAAATACACTCTAGGTAGTTCAGAGAAGCAAAATATCCAAACCTCAAAATAGAAGTGAAATACTACCTCATTTTACACTACATTTTGTTGTTGAAAAAATCAAAATAAGGGTCAATACGTAATTACTTAAATGGATTACAGTATTTATAGCTCTCTATGTACTTGCAAAGGCCCTTCGTTCAATATAAACCTCAACTGAATATTTTTTTAATGAAACATAAGCCATGACAAACACTGAAAGTTTGCCTGTGTGAGCTTGCACAAACTTTCCATCCCTGGAAAAGCTGAAAGGAATACTAGTTAGCTCCTTTCCCTTGCTATTTCCACCATTGTCCAGGGATATTTTATTGTCAGCTTTTGCTGATGAGCTTTTAATGAGTTCACAAGCTCTGTACAAATGCAAGTCCAATGAGTCTGATGAAATGGCCATTTATTATGGTCGGCTCTACCTGAATGGGGTACCCTTGATGTCTGTATAATAGTAGTCATTTGTCATCACCAATACCCGTTTCTAGATTCAGAACAAGAAAGTCAGAAAAGAAGGGGGAAAACAGTTAGTTTGCCATAAGAAAAGTATAAAAAAATCAAGCAGTTAGTCAGTGATAAAAATTACAAGCAATGTATACATTCAGGGTGTGAAAAAATATACCATGGTGAATAACGCTTGTAGTAATCTATCCTAAAAGTTGCAAAAATTAAAAAAACAGAAACAAAAACAAACAGCTTGCTTTATAACTAGCTGGAATGAGATTTCAAACATTACCCCTTTGTCCACTGTCTTCTTCACTTCCATGGAGAATTTTCCTGTTTTGCGATTCACCATTGCATTTCGAAGCTACAATGAAGGAAATGTGTATCAAATGCTTTATTTACAAATTCTGCAATTCTTTGAGCTCTTTGCTACATTCATACGACCTAAGCATTCAGTTATAAGTAGTTCTGCTGGACACAAAACAAACCCCTTACAGATTTTATGGTAGTCCATAGGCCAAGGCTCCTGCCACAGAACTTCAGGCAAACTGTGGAAGTGTGAAAGCAGTTCTCAGCATCCTTAATGGTAAAATAACCCTTCCTGCAGTAATCTGGATTTTACACAGGATAAACAGTTTAACTGAAAACTAATACGCTGTTACTATAGAGGGGGTTAAGCACTAGACTTGGTGCCTGGAGTTAGACCAAGGTTCATTTTAAAATACTTCATAGTCATATATAAAATATCAAAAGAAAAAGAGAAAAGCCCATTTATGACCTCATTATTCACTCTGCTTCAGCTTTACTCTCTACATATGGTTGCATCCCAAACCAGCATGAGAAACTACATCCTAACTGCATCAAAAAATGCAAGTAGTAGAAGTACAACAGCCCACTTGATCAGTAACCTGTTGCAATGGGAACACACAGCTCCAGGGCACTATGATCCACTCACAATTATTTTCAAAGAGAGAAAACTCAAAGTTGCTATGAAAAAAAATATATATACTCAAAGTGTTCATACAGAATGATTTACCTTCTATTCTGCTGGTTAAATCTGTTCCTGTTTGTACTGCCACAAATGTCCAGTCACTTGTGATTCCAAGGTGTCTTCCTGCGCTCTCTGAGGCCTGAAAGGCTTCTCCCTGTACCCTTCAGTAACTTTATGCCAGCTTCTGCATGAGTTCCAGCTTTTGTGCTGCAAATCCCTTAGACATCACATCTACAATGCCTTTCCTTAGCACACCTATTTGTTCCCCAGAAAAGGAGAGGTTTGCTCCCGGAGGACATCAGTTGGCACAGTCTCTCTTTTAGGGGAACATGCCATCGCTGTTCATCAGGACTATGCACCAAAATCATGAGGTGTACCTAGCAAGGTGCACAGGCTACACTACCATAGCCCATCTGAGAATGGGGATGTTGGGCTGAAACTAAACTACGACAAGACCTGGTTTCTGAAAAATTCTCAGCATTTGTATTCTGAATTTGTCCACCTTCCTGTTCTGAATTTTAGGGAAGAAATTAGAAGCATACTACTTAACAGTTATACCATAGAAACATGAAAGTATTTTATGCTCCCAGATTTATGGATGGAAGAAGCAGAAAGTTTAAGGTGCCTTTTTTAAGGGATATCTTCAATAACAAAGTGATATTGCCATGCTTGTGGGACGCTTCTTGTGGTAAGAAACATCTATAAATTAAATCTTCTACAACAACAATTTTCATTACAATAGGAACCCTTCAATACTGCTAGTAAATTCCCACCGCCTTGGTAGAGGTATTGAAAATGCAGGATAATATCGACAAAACAAGTTTTTTTTTATCTCTCTTCTATTGCTTATCTCTCTGAACACGATTTTGGACATAGCGTTCTTGCTATAAATATTTCTTGTTTTCCTGCACTTCGTGCCAATCGTTGCCAGGTTGGGCAATTCAGTCAGATTTTAATCAAAATTTGTGAAGATAGTCATGTCAGTGCACTCTGCAGACTCTCTGAGTTAGTACAGAGTGAAAAGAGAATGCCCAAAATTGCCAGTGAAATATCCGGTTCTATTTTCATGATGAAGTTGTGTATGGCTGCCCTATCTAAAACTGCAAACTTTGCCGCTCTTTAAATTTAATTCTGGAGCATCTACATTTCAATTAACAGGCTTACTCTTCTGACAGTGAGTGTAAAAGGATAATTTTAGCTGGGGGCATGTATAAAATAAAGCATATATTTTACTGCAGATTTTTTTAACAATACATAATAGGCAATTCTGGAAATATTTTCCCATTTTAACTTTTGTGGTTTTGTACTTGGAGAGCTGGTCTTAATTAACCATCTACTTTCTAACATTTACAGAACAGTTCCATTTATCTTTAACATGGTTTTCATTTTTCTCCCATTGGTGCCTGCAGTTGTCTGAGACCCATTCCTCTTGCAAGCCTCAGGCAAGTCATAGATTTATGAAAAGGGCCTCCAACTCTCAGTAGTGTTTAAGATCAAGTCTGCATGTGGAACTTAGAGTTTGACTTTCCTTTGTCTTTTTGCTTGTGATTACATTTCTTGGCTTTGTAATCTGGTTTCTCAGTTCTTCTGCAGTCCCATCTTCCTTCTCAAGTGCATGAAATAAGTAATGCCTCAATTGGCTTTGAGCCCCAAAGAGTCATTCATAGTGTTTTATTAAAAAACAAGCAAACAAAACAAAACAAAACAACAACAACAAAAAAAACAAAACAAAAAGAGCCCCCAGAACAAACCTTCATTCAGCTAGAAATCATAATATATTATAAAATGAAGTAAAAGCAAGATGGCAGATACTTCAACCTGAAAAATTAACAGATGAATATATATACTCTATTTCATAGCAAAAAATTTCTAAACTTATTTCTGCCACTTTTTCCTTATTGAATCTCTGGAGAAAACCTATTCATTCATTCACCTCTTAATAGTGATAAGTATTACTACTCTTTCAACTAAATGTCTTCCAATCAATTGCTAACAATGTAGTTTCACTGCTATAATGTGAGATCATTCTATATACTTGGAAAATTATGCAACCATTGAATTGATGTAGTAAAAAGTAAGCAGCCTAATCAGCCTCTACATAAGTTTTTAATGGTAGACAAATATTCCACTAGTTTTCTATGTTGCTAAAGGCAGCCCTATGAATACATGAATTCTTTCCCTCTACGGTGGAACAAACAATGCTTTACTACTAAAGCTTGGAAAAAAACAAGAACAAAGTCTCTCTCTAGATCTAATGTCATTAAAGACTCTGTCTGTAGCTCTGATACTCTTTTATTTCATTCTTCTTTCTCATTTATTCTGCTATTAGTGTTTCAGACAGTAAGCTTCTCCAATGGCCTTAGAAACATGGTATAAATGACTGACTTGTATATTATTTCATAAACACAAAACATGTGTAATAATACCAGGCTTGCTTTTAAAAATAACTGTAAAAATATGACTTGTGGTTTTTTTCCTGTTTGGATTATTACATCAAGTGTCCACTTGTGTGTGGCATTGCTAAAATATTAGGAAAACCTGCAGAATGCTAAGACTTTTTCTGCTATACTCAACATGTTTTTACAGAAAACACCTTGCCACTGACCATCAAACAATAAATGTGTATGCTTTTACAAAATGACTGTTGTCCAATGCTACAACATCTAGTTGTTTTCTATTATGTATTAAATATTTCTAAAAAATAATTTAAATTATGACTTATCTATTTTTTTTCCTTTTTTTTTTAAATTAATTACTGGACACTGGAGTGGGTCCTTTCTACAAATGCAATGCTCAATTTAGTTTACTAGCAATGTAGATAAATATTTTTCTCATTCAAAGGATGAAATATTAGGACTGCTGTTTGTTTCTATGTCAAAATTAAAAATCACCTTTTCACTTTTTTACGTTACAGGGAAAGGCAAATTTCATGTATGTACCTTTCAGCAGAATGTGAAATTTAACTTTCTTTAGGTTTCCAGATTTGAAAAATTCAACTTATGTTAGAAATTTTCAAAAAATCTGGCAGATCTTGGGGATTTCAAGGAAAACAGTTAGAGAGAGCTGAATCTGAACTTCTTCCTTTCATGTGCATTCAGAATAAATCACAATTATAAATAAAAATGTCTGATAATATATAATATGAAAATTATAAATTCAGTGTCTGATAAATGCTTCAATGTTACTTTAACCAAACCACTGAATTTCTAAGAGATCATAAATAATGAATGATTAAAACTTTAGAAATTAAACAGATAAATTATTGGAAGAAGTAAAAAGTAACAAAAACAAAGAGGAACAAGAAGAAAAACAAATTCATGAAGGTTTAAAAGCCATACTTAACTACTGCAATAACATTTGAAAGGAGAGAAGAAACTTTAAAAAGGTCATTTGCAGAGGAACTGATTGAGTAATATGCTGTCAAAGATAAAAGGTAAGGTATGAAGTCAGCCTGATTGCCAAGATTACAGAAGGCTGGTACAGAACGTGAACATCTAATGAGGAAGTATTAAGTAATGTATGCAAATAAAACGATGCAAAACTATACAAAAAACAACCCAATGCCCAAGTTTAAGTAAGGAGTAAGATGGCCTCCTAGGAAAGGACGAGGACAATCTATCACCTGATGAAACAGCCATTGCTAAAAACATGCAGTCCTGACTTTGGTAGCAGGGAACTGACAGGGAAAATAAAAAAAGAACCCTAAATTACAGGACAGAAAGTGGAACACCTGGAAAGTTATGATTTAATTAAGGACAATCAGCATGGATTCACACAAAACAAATCATGCCTAACAGATCAGATTTATTGAAGAAATAACAGAAAGACCAGGCAAAGGTTAAGCCATGGACAAAAGGAAAGCTTTTGATACAGTACTGCAGAAAAAGTTAAGTCTTCAAGATAAGAAAGAATAAGAGTGAATCACAGAGTAGATGGAGCACTGAAAAATGAGTTACCAGAACGAACAATATGCATAACAGCTGATAGACAAGGAATGAATGGTTCTGCAGCTACTCATATGCCTGAAATTAGGAGTTTTGAGAGAATATTTTACGACTCTGTTCTGAACAGAGAATCCAATTTGCTTATTCATATGGATTTTGTACATTAAGGAAAAAAGTTCTCATTATTTCATTCAGGAAAGCGGGATCTCCTAAAGAGAAGTTAGGCACTTTCTTTCATTTCTGAGCTTCAGCAGTTGTCTAGATGGGCCCAAGAGAGATATTCTCTTTCTCTTGTTGTCCAGTAAAAATACACAACAGGATGCGTGGAGTATACAAGTTGGGTGACGAGTTTTACCAAACATACAAGGAGTCTGTTAGAGGTTCATGTGTATTTACATATGAGAGCCTATATATATATATGTAAAAAAAAGTTATGAAATTCTGAACCAGGTAAAGTGGACTATTGTTTTTCCCTTTCTGAGAGCAGTCAAGTGGTTGCTCTGATAACTACTTGAACAATTTCCATGTACAGCCTTTCTGATAGGGTTTTAAAACATATCGCTTACCACATCATCTCTGTCTTCCCACTCAACCTCAGAAAGATCCACACTACTGTAGTTGGGCTTTCTTCGTTTCTTCCCTTCTTCATACTGGCATAAAAAAAAGAATGAAATTTTTAGCACACCCTCTACAAAAATTTTGTAACAGAAGAGGGTTGTTTTTTTTTTGTTTTGTTTTGTTTTGTTAACTTGGATGTATGTCGATTTTATTCGGAAATACTACGCCTAAAAGAGTAGGCAGCTTAATTGATAGATAATGAACAACACTGCTGGAAAAATATACTCTGTGCACTAAAAAAATACTTCATACATGATTATTTGTGTGATCTGTTGCCATGATATGAAGCTGTTATGAAGGACACACAGAGAAGTCCTTCAGCAGTTGTACCTTTTCAGCTCATATGGAACCCTACATGAGACCTTCCTCTTATAGTTTATGTTAAATGTCTCAAACTAACAATCTCAGCTGTACAGGAAGTTATATTTGCTATAATCTTATCAAGAAAATGTTTACACGTTTCTCTTTAAACAAGATAAGATGCAAGTCTTGGGAAGTGTGGTGTTAACATTTGCTGATACTACATTTTATCTACAACTTCATGGGAAAAAAGTAATATACTAATAATTTATAGGGTTTTTTTTATCACTAGTCACTGTTACCCTGTAAATCTCACATTTTAAATAAACATTCTAGTGACAAATTGATTTGACACTAGGGAATTTATAATATAGGAAATTCTGCCCTCTGCTGAACATTCAAATGAGTGAGCCCACTAGCATAATAAAAACCCTGATCAGTGGAAGAAGAAAAGTATTTAGGAAGGTCTGTGAACAGTTAAGAAAAAATATGAGAATCTATTTGAAATGTTTAAAAATGGGAGCAGATCTGTGCAATATGAATAACGGCCATTTATCTTTTATTATGCAAATAAGGGAGAGGATGACCACAAGTCTTTCCATGAGTTATGATGAGAGGTGCTGAGAACTGTGAGAATTACTCCAATTCTGCAACTCCTCAGAAACAGAACGATAGGATAGAGATTGCACCAGTAAGGGACAATATGTGTCTGATTCTCCTCCCTCAGGGCAGGACCAACCATACCACCAATCAAAGCTTTAAGTGCTCAGTACTGTTTATCACTGGGGTCATTGCAGCAGGAACTTGCAGTCCTGGTCTGCACATCACAGAGAGGCCATGGAGACCTGGTCTCTGAGCATTTGAAAGGTTACTCCCATCCTGATACCTTCCTTTCTAAATTATTCTCATGTGAATCTCACCACTGATTTTGTAGGGTAGCAGTATTTAAAAACAAGCATGACAAAGCTGCTGAATTGTAATCACAGGTTTTGAGATATTGGAACAACAGTAATATTTCTGCTAGTACAAAATTATTTCCCTCAAAAGAACTTGGAAACAGTTATTTTTACTGATCAGTCTTTTGGGAATCTATGCGGGATAAAATCCTGAGTCAATTCTCATTCTCCTAAAAAAATCTCATTCATAAAAAAATCCTCGCTACGCTGTTGGTGCAACTCTCAGACTGACTTCTGACAGTTCATATGAATGTAACAGAAGAATAATTTCACACATTTTTACTGCCCCTTTTACTACAAGTTTGCATTCTCAGAACAAGCAGGGTGTCCTCTTCTGGGCTGATGCTATTCAACAGATGGGATATTCAGAGATATAAAGATTTTCCCATTTCAGTGCATGTCCATATGCCAGGTTGTGAATTCAAGCATCTCATGGCTGCAATTAATTCTTGCTCCACACTATGCTCTGATAGCTTATACAACTATACACAAGTACCGAAGTACAAAACTTGGAAGCCCCTATAGTTAAATCTCACAAGGATAAAAAGGAGAGGATAACATCTGCTTCATGAGCAGGACTTCATTTTGGTAACTTTCTATGCTTTGCAAACCTCTAATTGTGGCTGCAGCTATATCAATATTATCTTTAATCGTTACAAGGACTAACTATGCCTATTCTCTGTGGCTGCATCAATTAACCAAGCAAAGCTCTGGTCTTATTTATTTACACCAGCATAGGAATTGTGGAAGTAGAGATCCAAAATACTGAGAGCTGAAAAGTGTTACGTAGAAATTAACTGGGATCACTTGAGTAGAACAAATGTGAAACAACTCCTGTACTGTGTCCAATGTTTAATTACATCCTTACCCACAGATGTTGAAGGGCTTCTGGGCTATACTGCATTCTCAGACACATGTGCAAGTCCTTACTTATGACAATAAGAGTTGATCTTGTGTGTCTGACGGCAGAAGTGGGCTTCGAGTATATAATAAATTGTTTGTATCATATTGATTATGGCTTTATTTATTTCAATTATATAGATTCCATATTGTGCATGCAAAAAGCAAAAACAAAATCCAAAAGCATTCAAATGAAGTGCTGCATAAAACATTCAAAGTTTTGCAGCAAAGCCAGAAATGGAAATATCCATGTCTCAAAAATTCAGATAAGTAGAAAGCAAGCCAAAATCCCAGTATTAAGCAAGCAGAAGACTCCATACACACTTGAATAAACTGAAAGTGCAAATCTTAAACCATATTTAGGACAGGAAGTAATAAAGTACTAAGAAGTCTAACCTCTCAATCTGTTATTACACTTTAGGGGACTAGTGTTAATTCCTACACAGGAGTTCAATATGTGAAGAATATGTTTATGATATAGTTCGGGAAAGAATGGCAGTGAAAATAAAAATTCAATTTCCAGCAAGGACAGGATTTTGTTCTGGTAACAAAAATAGCAGTTATTTCTATATCTGAGTATCTTTACTTACATGCCTATTTTTTTGTGAAGATTACTCCTTACAGTAAATTTACATATTCAATATGTAACTATGACCTAAAACATAAATGCAAGGAGATCAGATGTCAAGTATTTCATGCAACTAAAATTCATTCTTCTCTAGTTTCATTCTACTTATACTGCTAAACTAATTTCTCAGTAAAAGTTATTCATGGGCATAGAAGCAATTCACCAGCTTTTAAGAATGACATTCATCTACGCCATTTTCTTTGGTAGCATACTGAATCTAGCTTCACTTTTATCTCTGTCTGAGACTCCTGGGTGAAATATAAAATACTGATTGAAGACTGAAGCCAATCCCATTCGCAAGATTACTATAAAGCACTGAAACAAATTAGTAAGGAACCCATTGGGAAAGATAGAAACTAGGAGCTCTACCAAATTGCAGTGATTTAAGTGCATGAGGAAAAGAGCTAGATTTAGACTGTGTGATGTTAATCTACTTAGGCCAGTATAAATTGTGTGGTGATATTATAGAGTAGTTAAACCTTGAAAAATATGATAGCCAGTGAAATTTTTTAAATACCTGGACTGCGAATAAAGAATCTTTTAGTCTGCTCAGAATTCAGTGCTAGCTCCAATAGTCTTTTGTTTGTGGGAAGAACAGGGGAAATGATTTTTTTTGGTAATCAGAATGAGCTTTATCTTACTGACTACCTTTTATTTCAGGCGTGGCCAAACTGTTACAGCACTGGGTCGTTCAAACGATGTGCAATGTGTACAGTTTAAGGACTGAATCACATTTTTTCACCGCCTCCCATACAACCATTTACATGTGCCATTCTTAAGCTCTTTGATATATATATATATATATATATTTAACACAAGCAGTCCCAAACCATCTGCACTAAATACAGCCACGTGTTTATTAAGTCAAAGTACAGCCATCTGATCACAGAAGGAGCAAGCTACATCTTAGCAGCTGCAAGCCTTGGGTCTAAGGTGATTGCAGTTTCTCAGAAATGCTCCATCTGGATAACTGGGAGGTATGAGAGTTGCTCTGACAGCATCAGGGCAACTTCACATTGCCTTAAAACATCACTAAACTTCAGTGAACTTGTCTAGCCCCGTTCGTGGAATCATCTGGGAAAAAATATGATAGTGAGAAAGTATCTAATAAGACAACCAAAAGCTTAAATTTGTAAAGCAGTCATGGGTATCATGTCAGAAACTAAGTTGCTTGCTGTACAAAGGTCCTTTTAAAATATATAATTTTAAGTAACATTATGATTTCTTTAGGAAAAGAACTTCTCTTTCCAAAGGGAGACTTTCATGATAAGCCTATTATTTAAGTCATTAATCCTGAAGTTTCTAGGTTATGGTTGGCAGTGAAAAACAGTTATTTTGGACTCGTTTTTCATGCCAGATAGTAGTGAAAAACTGCCACACTATAAAATTTCCAGCAACACTGCACAGAAAAGCTGACAACAGGAGCCATATCATTCACTGGGGTAAAGAGAATAACACAACTTGAATTTTCCAGGAAGAGAAAAAGCAGGAGCAATCAAATGTACCACATCCACAGAAGAACCTTCTAGCAAAATAAAAAAAAATAAAGATCTTGTGCCACATGTATTTGTATTTCTCTATTTACAGCCATAACATATGTGTTTGCATTACAGATACTGCAGAAATGGTTGAATCGATGAAACAACATATGGAAATACATAGCAGGAGGTAAAAAGCAAGGGAACAGAAAATAGCTTTAAGTCACACATCTACAGACTGGACAAAGAGTACATTGGCTGAGCTTGCATTTTCAGGTGGATTGCAGTTGACTAGCAATGCAGCATGTATGCAATTTACTAAGCTGAAAGAAAAAAAAACAACCTCTCTATTTAGGATTTTATTTGCATTCTCAGGACCTTATCATTCAGGATTATGTAAAACTGGCAGCTGCTTATAATTATTTGGGGTTCGAGTAGAAATAATTAAAAACATCTGCCTTTATCTTAATACTACCAGACTTTAACCCATGAGCTCAGTTATACCTAACTTCAAAGCTGAAAGCAAAGTATAAAAGAAAGCTTCACATATTGCTAACAAATTTTCAGTGATTCATTTATATGTACAACCAGTTATTCAACAGCCTTCAAACCCTTAATTATCTTTTAAATATATGTAATTTTGCACTTCTAATTAGACAGCAATTTAATGCTCTCACAGGGATTCAGATGGGCTGTCTTTTTTAAAATGTAAACTCCAATAGGAATAATCATTGGCATTCAAGTGATTGAATTCTTCAGTTATTTAAATG